AGGTCTAGGACATTTGTAAAACGAGCCTGAAACTTCTGTTATAAGGAAGACTGCAGGAGTCTTGCTGCAGGGCTGCAGGAGCCAAAAACTAGGAAAACTTGAGATACATAAAATATGGTAAAATCCATTTTTAATAGTACCTTAAAAATCAGCATTTACCTATGGTTCTAACAGTATTTTGACAATTGACTAGAATCAATCCTTTATCCTTTGAAGACTATGTGATAGTAGCCAAGTAGTTGATGAGGAGATGCTCTTTTTAATAGAAAAATTCCAACTAATGTAGGAAGTGTGATTCAATTTGCACTTAATGTTCAAAAATTTTTTTAAAATTATTGCAGTGAAAGACATGTTACCATCAATCCCCTTTAAAATATTCCCTCTGGAAAAAAAAATTTTTTTTTTTTTTTTTTCCCCCTCAATTGGAAAAACTTACTCCATTCTTCCCCTGGTGGGCTGAGCTGGCCACACACACACACAATAAATAAATGTAATAAATAAATATTTAAAAAAAATAAAATAAAATTATTGCAGTGAAAGACATGTTACCATCAATCCCCTTTAAAATATTCCCTCTGGAAAAAAAAAATTTTTTTTTTTTAAATTCCCCCTCAATTGGAAAAACTTACTCCATTTTTCTTGCTACTTTCTGAAGCAGTTTTGAAAGTCCTCTTCATGTCTTTAGTTATAATTTGGTGGCCACCTTGATGTCCTGAATTGACTCAAAACATTTTACCTTTCTTTTTTACTTTGGGAACAAAAAGTTGCATGGTCCCAGATCCAGTGAATTAGGTGGATGGGAATGCACCATGGTTTTACAGCCTGCCTTTCCATGGGATGGCACTTGGCAGCATCATCCAGCATTCACTGTATTTTTTATCATGTCATAAAATCACAGAGGACTTTTTGAACTGCTTTAGTAAGTAGTAAGAATGATGGGATGAGTGTTCTAAGTGAGGGGGAATATCTTGAGGGGGACAAATGGGAATCTGATTGATTGATTGATTGATTGATTGATGTTGGTACCAGGGATTGAACTCAAGACCTTGCGCTTGCCAGTCAAGTACTTATTCTACTGAGCTATCTCCCCGGCCCAGGAGTCTGTTTTTTAAATAGCATGTTTTGATCATCCTTCGTATAAAGTGCTGGAACTCGAAAAAACATTTCCTGGTTTCTAACGAAAGTATTTAGATAGTGATCCATCTTAGACAGTGGTCAGAAATGCCTACCAATGTCATAGGGTGGAAGGTGTAGCCATTTAAGGGGATGATATGGCTGTTTTTATTAATTCTGGAAAATGTTCCTGAAAATGTTTCATTAATTTTTTTTTTTTTTTTTTTTTTTTTTGGGCAGAACCAGGGATTGACCACAGGCCTTTGCACTTGCCAGGCAAGCACTTATTCTACTGAGCCATCTCCCGTCCCTGTTTCATTAATATTTGGGGAATTTCTTTTTAGAAATATACATATACAAATACCCATATATTTATATGTGTAAATGTATAGATTTTGGAAAGGGTAGAGGAGTTATGGTTGTTCATATTTTTTGGCTTTTTTTTTTTTTTCTGAGAGAGGGATGTAGTTCTGGTGAGCTTTGAACACTCTGGGTAGCCCAGGCTGGCCTCAAAGTACAGTGATTCTCCTGCCTCATCCTCCAGAGTGCTGGGATTACATGTGTGACAATGCACAGTGGTTATTTTGTTTTTGTGGTTATTTTTCATACCTCTATTTCTTGGTTTTTCTACAGTGAGTAGTAGATTATTTATAGATTTTTTTTTTTTGTACCAGGGATCAAACTTGGGACCTTGTGCTTGCCAGACAGGCACTTATGCCTCTGAGCTATATCCCTGCTGTTTGTAGACTTTAAAACATTTAAATGAAATAAATTTTATTTTACTGCACAATGTTTTCATATCTGTTGTTTGTTCTATAATGAACAAAACGCTATGAATGTAATTTTTCCAAAAATGAAATGAGTACATGAAGTCCTGCATTAAAGTTTAAAAAGTCCATTATTTTCCAAAAGTCTGTCTGAAAACCACAGCATAAGGGATGGTCTTGGAAAAAAAGTTTATTTTTAGAAGCCCTAGAGATCTTGATTGACTTATTTAGGTCAACAAAGTAAGTTTTCAGTTAAAAAAAAAAAAAATCTAGTCGCTGGATAGGCTGTTATGCCAGGAAATATGTGATTAATAAGAGGTTATTGTTGGTGGACTTAGCATGGATTAGAGCACGGGAACAAACTAAGTGGAACAGCCAAAAGAGGTCAGCACAGTCAGAGGCCCTCTGATGCGAAGACGGCCGGAAGCACAGCTCCACACTGTAAATATTTTAAAGGGTATGTGGGGAAGAGTGATCAAAGACTGAATCAGGAAGCAGAGTCCACATGGGTCAACCCAGGAGAGAGATCTCGGTGTGTCCCTCAGTAAAACGTACCTCTTTACCGGAAAGCAGAGATGGTATTTTAGACTCATGTCTGTTTTAGGGGAAAAATATGAATGGTGTGAGTGTGAAAGTCTTCTTCTGTCTATAAGGTTGAATCAACAGAAATAGATCTTATTCACAAATAAGAAATAGAGGCTAGGGGCTGGAGAGATGGCTCAGTGGTCTAAGGCACCTACTT